TGACAACTTGAGTGATGACTCATGCAGCGACGCCAAATAACAGAGTATTATCCGATTACAGATTTAAGTTTAATGCGCTAAAATGTTGACAAGGGGAGATTTAGCAGAAATTTCTTTCCTTATGCTAAAAATAGATTTTGTTAATGATACTCATAGGACAAACGATTATATTTAGTGCTATTTGAATTAAGAATAACTGATTTGTTATTCACATAAAGCCAGAACCAGCGCCAGAGCTCGCATGGCCGCACCAGGCGGCAGAATTTAGCGAAGTTAAACAGAAGTTTTTCATTGCGATGACAATGCCCAATCATCAATCAATTAACGGAGGGCGAAATCTGTAGTATGGTTCTAAATCCAGAAAATACAGCTACCGATAGTGAAGAAAGTAACAGAGAGGTTACTGAACGAGAAAAAATTTTGATTGACAAGTTATTCGGAATTCTCGACACAGCAATTACAGGACTTGAACAATGGAACTTAATAACTGAACAAGAAATTATATGTCTATAGTATTAGTCTAAAGTATTAGCAGAGAAAACAAATCAAACAACTCACATTGAAAGAAATGTTTAATAAAGTAAACATATAAATATTAAGCTCTTTTCTTTTGTAAATTTTGATACCCTTTAAATCATAAATGCTTCATTATTTCATAAATCAAGATTTCATATTTTCAATTTTATAATTTCTAATTTCTACGTGCCATCTTAGTAGATTTAAAATGATCTAATATCCGGAAAAATCTCAAATCTGGGATCGCCGAAGTCCCGACCTCGGACTTTGTACTGTATAAGTATATATATATATATTATATATTCTGTATTATATATATATATATATATTCCGTATATATATATATATATAATACGGAATGTATATTTTCAGTTAAACTTCTACCCAATAACTTTAGTAATTCATGAAAGTTAATTTTGCGTCTAGTTAATTCAGGAAAATTAGTTTCAATTAGTTGTTTTCAGCTTTAAAAATATTAAAAAATTTTTAATTAGTTGTTTTCAACTAATAATTGTATCGCCATTAGCAAAAATAATATGCATTACTATCAACAGCATAGGATTAAAACCAAATACTTAATTGTCTATTGAAGCTTCAAAACGTATTTCCGAACTTCACTTTTTCTCGGCTAGCGTTACCGAATTTGCCCTTGGCGACCTAAAATCGAAATGGAGCCAACAGATTTCCCGCGAAATCGATAACAGACCCTCTGCAGAAATAAACTCATAATCCCGATATATCCCATACATATAGTATGTGCAAAAGAGAATAAACTCCGTAGAAGGTGATAAAAAATTAATTTATGGCTTAATTGAAACAAACACAGAAATTAAGCTAAGCAAAACTGTGTAAAAACAAATTCAAATGATAAAATGAAACTTAATTTTCATGTGAATTTTCAGTACTGACTCTCCCATTCTAGAAATTTAAATTTGTTTCAGACAAAGACCACATTTAGCTTTAATAGGATTGTCATCCATCAATATCCAGTCTTTATAGTCAGCTTGATGAGGCCACAGTTTATTGAAAATGTAATTTCCAGGCATCTCTTTCCTATTGGCGTCAAAAGGGTTGTGGCCTTCCAGGTTGGGACTGTTCTAATTTTGGCAAATATTTTCAGAATGCCCCCCTTTTTTTTCTTGAGCACTTTCATCATCACTTTCGCCTCTTAAAAAACTTGCGGCTTCACGCTTTCGTCACAATCTTACTAAATTTATGGACAACACCTGTTTCGAAAGATTGGGTGAATAGCCAATCAGACACCTATACTTTCATTCGGGTAGCTGGTTTTTTTTTTTTTTTTTTTAATAGTTTGCAACGCAAATCCGCCAACAGATTGGTTAAGAGCCATGTAATTTTAATTCCATATTCATGAGAAATCGCAATTCACACTGAGAATGGCAATCATTAGAAATGATAAGAAATGTCAAATGAGCAAAATTAAGGACCGTTTATTCATTTCGACCAAAATTAAGGACTTTTAAGGACCAAAAATCATTTTTGAAAAAATTAAGGACTTTTAAGGACTGTATGAACCCTGATTTAATTAAGGATTTCTGTTACTCTAAAAAACACTAAATGCATTTAGAATGTACAGAAAAAGCGGCTAATTTTATTTCTATAGTAATATGAACATTCAGAAGAAATATGAAATATATATGATAAAGGCCGGTTACAGAGCAGGTGTGGCAGAATTTTTAGAATTTAGTGACACACAGAACAACAAAATCTAAAAATGGCAAAACTTTTAGAATTTAGAGCAGGCATTGGAAGCAGAATTTAGATAGGTAGGCACTAGGCAGCAGAATTTAAGATACACAGAGATTGCATCAGGTGGGAAAATGCATAGCACTAGCTCTGTGTACGATGCATTTAGACACATTAGATAAATCTTTTAAACTGTAAGTTTTCAATTTCTTTATTAATAAAAAAAATCTCTTTCTATAATGCCTGCCCAAGTGATAAGATTTTTTGATATTTTCCATGCTTGTGTCTAGTGAAAAGTAGAGAAAATAAAGGGAAGATAAACATGTTAAGAAAAAAGATTCTAGTATCAGGAGTAAAACATTCAAATATTATGTTTCCATTGTTTTTCCAGACGTTCTCCAAAAAGTAAGAAATTCATCGCAAACTTTCTGTAAAATGCATCCATTATGTGTCGATATGTTGATACGATGGAGACATTTTTCACTTTGTCACATATTTCGTGAATCTTCTAGAATCGTGGGTCTATAAATCTTGCCTTCAAATCCTTCTAAACTTTCCATGCTGCAATGTCAAAAATACTAAAGAAAAATTATTCCAACCAATTCTGTAACAGCAAAAAGCCAGAAATATTTTGAAAAAAAAAAAGGAAAAAGTGTAAAATTAATTTTATGAAGAAAACTGATGCATATTCTGAGAATTTTGAATAATCTGAGACAATTACATGGGAAAAACACTTACTTTGAAAAAATTAAAAAGAAGACATTTTAATTAATTACATAGCTAATTTTGCTTTTACTAAGAGCTGTTTCGTAAATTATGCTTTATAGCTATATACCTTGTTTATTTTTCAGATTTAAAATATTGTATAATAAGTTGCCAAAATGAAACTTTATAATATGACAGCGAAAATTAAAAATTTTTTTATTTAATGTTATTTTTTAAATATAATTCTAATATATAACCATTATTTTAATGAAATTTATCAACGTTATGATGTTTTAAAAAAATCGCCAAAAAATTCTCAGATCTCGGAATTAAAAATTTTCTATAGAAACTGATTTTAAAATCGCCAAAATGTTGGCAAGTTGTCAAATTTAGAACCATTTAATAAAAGAATTCACAACCCCAAAAGCGAAAAAAGCTCTTTATTAGAAAAAATGAATTTCGAAATGCTTATGTTTCACTACTTGCTTAACTCGAGTATCCCATCATTTATATCAGAAATAGAAACAAATTATAACCCATGAACCCTTTCAAAAGATAACCATATACGTCAGTGAATTGCCAAAAATATTCCTCCAAAATGCTAATTCACACTCAAAATGGCAGTCGTAAAAACAGAGAGAAATTTCAGATGATTAAAATTAAGGACCTTCTACTAATTTTGACCAAAATTAAGGACTTTTAAGGACCAAAAATCGATTTCAAAAAATTTAAGGACTTTTAAGGACTCTTAAAGACCGTACGAACCCTGGTCTATCTCTCGACCCTGATGAAAAGACTTCTTTTACCTCTTTGTCCACCAGAGTGACCTTCGAGGTTGCAACTGGAATCATTAAAAAAGGCACAGGATTTCACCACTGAAACACATACTGCTGCATTCTGAAATCATTCATCATAGATAAAGTAACTTTATGCAACCTTATCACACAGAGCATGATCTTGCATGGGTGGAGAGAAGGTCTGGCAGCGTGACGCGCAGTATCCCATGGTGACAACCAATGTCTGGAACGCCTGAGTGTGTCATATTGAACACACTTTTCATCGCTGGTGATTACTCGATCAAATATGGATGCATTCCAGTTTCGAGTGAGCAATGACAAACATGCAGTGGCATTCTGTTGCTTGTTTGCATCTGGGCAGTGAGTGGGGGTACCCACTTGCTCAGTTTGTGTGCCTTTCCTATGAAGTGCAAATGGAGTCTGATCATTTACGGATACTCGGAAGTGTTCGACAAGCTCACCACATGTTTGGCTACTGTCATTCTCTATGGCTGCTTTCAAGGCCTCATCGTCCAGTCCTTGTGGCCGACTGCCGCATGGTGCATCACTAAGGGACATATCCCCCTGACCTCAACTTCTGGAACCATTGCCTAGCAGTTCGTTTTGTAATGGCATCATCCCCAAAGGCCTGGCTAATTCGGTTACTTGATTCTGATGAAGACAGGCCTGCTTTAAAATTATACAGCAAACAACTCCAAACGAGCGCCTTCGATGCGTCCATTTCAAAAAGTCGCTATGCGAGTTATGTTTGAAGTGAATATGCTTTTATACTCTTGATCAATGTCTGGACTCCCATCCTAGTACTTTTTTGGTTACCTTGTAAAAGGGACTTTCTTATTCATTACACATGAAAATTTCTGCCAGCTTTTAATGTATCCGAATTCAGATGTATATTGAAGGAAAAATAATCAAATATAAAGTGAGTTGTTTTTTAATTATAATCAAGAAAATACTATTTATTCATGGCATTTTAAAGAACTTCAATATTTCAGGGCTAAAGTTGTAATGCTCTGTGTATTAATAGATAAATACATATTTTATTAAATAACAACAACTGTTTAATAGCTTTCATAATTGGGATGAGATGTATTAAAATCCACTTTTAATTCCTTCAAAACTTTAATTCCACAAGCAAAGATTTTTTTTTTTTTTTTTTTTTTTTTTTTTGTTAATCGTTGAATAAAATCTGATAAATAATGCCTTGTTTTTTGTTTACAGAGTTATTTGTTATAACAAGAATTTTCTACAAAATTTGCTATTCTGAATTTATAATATATATATGTGTATACTACATTCTGAATTTTGTCAAATATACATACTACATTCTAAAGTTTTATATGAATCATATATTCAAAATATATATATATGATTTATATAAACTTTAGAATAATATAATAAAACTTTAGAACAAAAAATATATATGAATATACATTTTTTGAATCACAAGCTTGTAAGTGATTAAAACAGACCTTAAATATAATATGAAATATATAGACTTTTTTTAATGTGTGTGTGCATGTGTACTTACACTAGTTTCAACTATACTGACAGCAGATGTTTCATTTTCATCATCTTTTGCATTAGAGCTTTTAAGTTGAGGGCTACTTGAAAGACCCAAAATACTGTTGGCTGTTGCTACTGATATTGAAGCATATATACAACTAAGCATAATCTTCATCAGCTTGGAAATCCTGTCTTCTGTAAGTGGCTCTAAAACAGGTAGACTTAAAGCTTTGCTTATGATCTGAATATCACTTGCTAAAGCTTTGTACCTACATTAGAGAATAGTATTTTTTAAACAGTATATATTTTTTAAAAATGTAAATACTTATTTCCTATGCTTTTCAACAGAATATAATTATTCTATAGAATACTCTTCATATACATTTTTAAAGCATTATTATTACAAATCAAATTATACTTTCAATTATAAATATAAAAGTTGTCGAAATGAAATATGGACAATAGCAGAAAAGTGTTACAATAGACAAAGATAACAAAAAATACATATGTTGAATAATTTGCTTCATATAATACACTAAGAAGTAAGATGACCAATCACACAAATACCCAATTATACTAACAACTCTAATGGAAATTCTTCATTATCTCCACAATTTTAGTGGAAATACGGTTTAAAATTTCCTTCCAAAAGTTTGTAAAAATATTGAACTATCCCTATTGTGCATATTGAACTATAAAAAGTTACTGCAGTATTTTGAATATTTTAAAACTATGAAATAAAGACACAAATTATTTAATTTTTTCTGAGTTTTCCTGTTCGGTGGTATCATTTAAATTCAAGTTTAGCCCTTTTGGGGATAAGAGGGGAGAGAAGTTATCGTACTTAGTAATTCTAAATGAAGATTTAGTTGGAAAAGTAAAGCAGCTAGGAGATTAAGAGTGCTAAAACTGTATCAGGAACAGAGCTGTTTATATCACAAAAATTCCTTTCCGATTAAAAAAAAAAAAAAAAAAAAAAATTACATAAAAACATTACACTTAAAATATGCAGATATTAGCATATATCACTGCTAAACATGCTTGTATATCTACAGCAAAAAATTTTGAAACTTAAGATCTCTTCAAAGAATTCTTTGCTCTGTAGTGACATATTAGAATAATTTGATACTTGAAAACAAATTAAATGTTAAATTTCTAAAAAAATAGATTTAAAAATAGAGCCTTTTTTCTTTAAAAAGGCTTTGGGCTAATTCCAATGCTTGCACTGCCATTCATGCATAAAAAGACTTATAAACTTATTATAATTATTAGTTTGAATATACTCCCAAATGGTAGGGATAGAATATTTTTAAACTACAGAATTACTTTACATACCCACAGAAAAATACTTACGAATTACTCAGTCTTACAGCACTCGTGGTACATGAAGGGAAAAGTAAGCCTTTGCCAGAAAGAGAATCTTGAAGTTTACTTGTATATTGACTAATTGTATGAAGTGACAAACTCATATCCAACAGCACATCTACTCCACTTAATAACTGCAGAGTCAATTTATTTTTAGTCAAAAGCATGGTCTGAAATTTTTAAAGGACGAAACTGGTAAGTAAGAATTTATTATCTTACATTTAAAAAATGTAACATTAGCCCAGTAAAATAATGTAGTCACTTTCATACACATTCATTTATTTTGCATATTATACAGTTGCAAGCTCACAATCTAGGCAAATAATTTGTACAAAAATTGTATTTTTAGTCTCATGTTTTCACTAAGTTCTTTTTAACACATTATCAAACTATTGAACTGAAAGTAAAATAGAAAATTGTGATGAACATTAGCTATGAATTATGATATTACATATTATTTAATTATTTAATCAAAAAATAAAGCTTTTGAAAATTTGAATCATCATGAGTACTCCAAAATGCACTGAAAAATAGCTTAAGATAATGTACACGAATTAATAAATAATAAATAAATTGATCATTGTTTATTTTTATATCCTATCTATCAACAATGCTTTGATGCACTAAAAAATAAAATACAGTCAAAAGTCGTTAATTCGGACACCCATAATCCGGAATGATCTATAATCCGGACCTCAAAGCTACAAACTTTCTGCGCATGCGTCGCGTTCATGCATGCGCATTTAATGTGTAGTGGAGTTATATGCTAAGCTAAAGTTATCTAATTCAGTTAATGTTGCAGATTGCGTTGTTCCTTAATCTTCGAATTGGATCCGGCTTATTATTTTTTGCAGGCTGTTAGAGCAATTTTATAAAAGTAAGCTTGAACTTTCGATTATGTCAAATAGAATTTCCGATATATATTTACTACAAAGCGAAAGTATGTTTTGAAATCCGAAATCTGTTTATCAATTTCACGCTGCTCTGCGGCAGAGGGGGGGGCATAAATGTCATTATTAGATTATGATAGATTAGAAAGATTATGTCAAATAGAATTTCCGATATATATTTACTAATATGTAATTTGTATCTACAAAGCGAAAGTATGTTTTGAAATCCGAAATCTGTTTATCAATTTCACGCTGCGGATTGGAAGTTGATCTGTCAGCACTATCCTTATCTTCAGAGCAGATGTTTTTATTTTATTTGGTTTATAATTCCGTACTAAGTGTAGTATTTCATCTCGATATACTCCGTCTTACTTGATATGATTTAAATCAAGTTCCTCGTCATTATAATTCGCTTCCGATAGTGAAGAAAGTGACCCAGAGGTTATTGAAAACGAAAACATTTCGATTGACAAATTAGTCGGTATTCTCAACACAGCAATTATAGGACTTGAACAGCCGAACTTTGTAACTAAACAAGAAATTATGTCTGTTTAATAGAATTAAAGAGAAAGTATTATCACATGAAACGAGCAACTTACATTGAAGGAAATGTTTAATAAAGTAAACAAATAAATATTAAGCTTTTTCTTTTTGTAAATTTTGATACCCTTTAGATCATAATTGTTCTTTATTTCATAAATTACGGTTTCATATTTTTAATTTTGTAATTTCTGCATGCCATCTTACCAGATTTAAACTGATGATCTATAATCCGGAAAAATCGATAATCCGGAATCGCCGAAGTCCCGACGAGTCTGGATTAACGACTTTTGACTGTAATTTATGTATTATTAAACATGAAACATGAATTACCCATTAAACATGAAAGTTAGCAGAGGCACTGCCAAACTTGCATCAGCCATTCCAGTGAAAATTTGGAGCAAGAGATTGATCTTTAATTAATTACATAATCACAGATTGCTATTTTACTATCAGACAACAGAGAATAGTCGCTGAAAAGTTCAAGTTGGGCACAGGTTTAACAAACTTACATCCTTCTTTACACAAATAGAAGTTGAAGATCAGAGTTACATGAAATCAAAATCAAGAGCTTACGAGTGTGTTGTGATGTCATGATTGTTCCCGACTGGCTAAATTAAACCGTCTGGCAAGGTTTCATTGGTTCAAAATGATCAAAAGGCAAATATCAATAATGTAAATAAATTTTTAAAATACAATGTTCTATGAATTAAACTTGGATGCTTAGACTACTCTTTTTATTTGTGTTAATGGATCTGCCTTTTAAAAAAAGAATTAGACTGCTATAAGAAAACTGGGATCTCTTATTTCTTATAAGAAGAATAAAATTTTGGACAGTGTTACACTATATAGTTCTTGCTAAAACACAATATACAAATTCAAATTAAATCATTAAGTCTCTATGAATCTGACACTCCATATATATATCCATAAAAGCGATTTCTTTAAATTGCTTTTAAAAAACTCCCAACTATTGAAAGTTTCATAACTCAACTAAACACTTCATATTTAAGGGAAAAAAGTTTTTTTCAGAACACATATTTGAGCATCACTTTTTTTTTTTTTTTTTTTTTTTTTTTTTTTTAAATAAGCTAATTAACAAGCCAGAGTTTCTATTGCCTCTAGCACTGGCATCAAAAGCTGTCATGGATGCTGATTGTTTTTTGTACATCATTACATTGAGTTTTCAGTCTAATTAGTAAATATTATTTTTATGCAATACAATTAATATTCATTGGTAATTAAGAAAACACCTTTCCAATGGAACCATTTTAAACAATTTTCTGTTGCATTCGTAAGAAAATGAGTTTTCACTATTGAAGTAATACATAGGTTATCAAGCCTTTAACTTAAATAACTGTAATTATTAATTAATATGACTGACTATTTTTCCTTATAATCTAGTAACCTTGATGTTTACTAGTATTGCTAGAGATGAAATTTCAGGCTTCTTTAATTAAAAATTCAAATGTGAAATATAATCCTTTTTTGTAGTTGTTGGTATCATTAGCTAAGAATTTTAACTTTCTTTCTGAAATTTCTGAATCCCATGCAACATAAAATTAATTTATTACCCATGAAATCAGAGAAATTTCTCCAAATTTATTATCTCTATAACTAGGCAAATTGCTATACATCTGCACTGGAAAATTAATACTGCTGTTCAACAAGGTACGCAATTTTTCAGTTATTTTTTTCAAACTTTCAATAAGTATACTGAAAGTAAAATGTCAAATCATATGAATAAAATAAAAATTAAAAAAAAAAAAAAAAAAAAAAACATGAAACTGTTAGACTAACTTTCTGTTTTTTATAATTTTCATTCAATTATTAAAAAACAAGCTTAGTGATAACATCAACAGTATTAAAACCACTTAATCATGAGACAAAATTGATTATAAGAACTACAGCTATGCCCAAAAATTAGCAAAACTTTTACTTTTTTTTGCAGCTTTAAGAATAACATAACAGCTTTTTCATTTTTCAATTCATGACTAATGTATATTGTTTGCACCCAACCAATATAATTTATTGATTCTGTAAGTATCATCAGAGATTATTGGAGTATTTTTTAATGAGGTTTTTCTCTGAAGTATTCCAAAAATGTATCAAAAAATTGCAAAGAAATAACAATGATGGTATAGTATACTATCTACCGTTTTTTAGTCAATCATTTATTTTTTAGATGACGGCACTAAAATTGGCTGTTGTTCTGTTCATTTCTTTTCTCCATAATTCTGTCACACATTCGAATTTAAAAACTGTGTTTGAGTGGTGCCAGCTTTATTTGATTACAGCAAAGTACTCAAAAGGACCTAAGGGGAGGGATGCCTTTACAGAGGGCTTTCTAAAGGAAACTGACTCATACACACATTACACTTGGTGACAACCACAAAAACATCCATGCAGACAGCTCGTTTGCTAGAATTTGAACCCTGGACCAAACTATTCAGTGACTTCACTACTTGGTAGCTGGTAGGCACCATCTAAGGAATAACTAACTAAATATGGTAAATCACATAATACAACATCACTGAAATTTCTTTTTTAAAAATGAAACAGCAAATTTATGAAATGTGTCATTTTTTGTATTCAATTCTAAAGTTTCTCAAAAAATATTTGTTTCTCTTATACGAATTGTGTAGGAAAAAAAAAAAAAAAAAAAAAAATGAGTATAGGAAAACATCACAACATTGCAGAATTACTATAACATTAATCAAGCACAGCAATAGATAACAAAGCAGAAAAATTACCATGTCATTTAGATATTTACCAAAGAATGTTTTTGCAGCAATATGTTCAAAATATAGTTATAGATCTGAAAATAATTATAAGATAGGAAAAAAATGCTTCTTTACACATTAAGAGAGAAAAAAAAAATTATCTGCCAAAGAGCTTCAAGGTCTCTAAGTGGCAGAAAAATTTGAAGCAAAATGATGAACAAAAAGGTGTATTTTCGAATTCCAAGAAATATTCTATTTTTAAAGAAAACAAATACCTAAAGGAGTATGCACCTGGCCAAACTATACCATGTTGGAAACAACCCTGAAAAATCAGTGAAAATTACAGATAATACAATGGCAACTCAATTTTTCATGCAGATGGTACAGTGATCAGAAAGGTATACGTGGTTTTCACAGAAAACACAATGCCCCATCGCTCTAACAAATCAGTCACAGCTTGCGCTGCATGCGGCCAAGCATTGTCACGCAAAATGAGAGGAGCGTTCTGCAGAAAGTGTCGCCGTTTTTTTCTCAAAGCTGGTCGGAGATTGTGATCCAAAAATGAGCAGTAATACTGCGCAGTGACGGTCTGCTGTGGGGGAACGGTATGTGTTAGAATGACACCATCACAGTTGAACATGATAATCACCATAACTTTCACATTGCTGGGGTTCTGACGAAATTTCGAATGTCGTGGTGACCTGTGATGACACCATTCGTTTGATTGGCGTTTCAGTTCTGGCTGGTACGATCGCGCCCAAGTCTCATCCAGCGTAATGATATGCCGTAAAAAAAGCATCTCCTTTGCGCTCATAGCGCTCCAGGTGGGTTCTGGGCAGCATTGTATCGTAGCCATTTCTGCATTTCCGTCAAGTGATGTGGAACCCATCGTGAAGCAATTTTTCTTATGGACAGGCATTCCTTCAGAATGTGCAACACAGTCATATGCGCTAATCCTGTTTGTCCAGCCAGCTGATGAACCGTTTGGCGGCAATCACTGTCCACTAGTGCGTCAACAGCTTGCACGTCTGCATCGCTGACACTCGGACGACCTGGCCGCAGCATGTCTGCCACGTTTTGGCGTCCTTCATTGAATGCTTTCACCCATCTTGCTATGGTTCTGTAAGGCAATGCAGATTCCCCGCAAGCCTCTTGATGCCCTTGATGACACTGTCGTGCTGTATGACCTCTGGCACATTCAATTTTTATCCAACATCGTTGTTCTTGTTTTGAAAACATCCTAATACCACTTACTTTAGACCACGAGCTAATACAAGGATTCGTTCTTCGTGTCACTCCACATGCGCGTGACGTAGGCAGGACGAGTCTTTTTGCTGAGAGGTAAGGTAGATATGTAGTTCACATGTGGTATACGCGATATTCTTTGGTTTTGTTGCGTAGCGTTTTTTCAGCTGTGTTGCCACTATTAAAGTTCCAACCCTCGTATTACTAATATTTTAACACAACAGCATGACGCAAACTGAAAGTTTAAACAAAAAAGTTGAACTATACTCATTTCAACATTATATGTGAATACAATAATCAAACAGACGGTCTTCTGATGCCACCTTTTGACAGTACTGGCAAATATTTCTCAACCCAGGTGAGCCACGGCCATTTTAGTCACCTGATCTAAATCCAGTTGAAAATATACAACATGAACTAAAGATAAATTAATTATTTTCATGCATCAAATTTGAAGGAACTTAAAAGAGAATGGCACATTATGCATGACCTTCTGCTGAAAAATTTTAAAAACTAACTCTGCCTCACACAATTTAGAGAAGTCATTATAGACAAAGGTTTTGTAAATAAATATTAATAAAGAAGTTAAATTTTTTGTAGTAAACTAAGATTTTTGTCCTCAATAATAAGATGCTTCAACTAGTATTCTTATTAAGACACAATAACACGCCGAACAAATACTAATTCAGAAGTCAAACAACAAAAATCAGCATTATATTTTCAAACTTTCACAGGACTAGTTTCGATTGTTTTACCAAACCACCATCCTCAGCTGCAAAAGCGCAAAACTGAAAATATAACACTGATTTTTGTTGTTTGACTTCTGAATTAGTATTATTATTATTATTAATAGTATTTTTTGATTTAACACATATTAGGGATAATTCAGAAAAAAAAATTTACAGCACAAAAACAATGCAATAATCAGTAACAATACTTAATAAATCATATTACTAGGGTTTAAATATGCATTAATTTTGAACTAAAAACATTAAACAATTATAAACGTATTTCTTGTTTTCTAGCACAATTGTAGATACAAAGACTGAAGAACTTCAACAGGAATTTGCAGTAGTCTAGCTAATGCATATTATATTCATTTATACATATTATACAGTCATTTATCATACATGAAACATAAAATTTATTTCATAATACTAACCTTTGATTCTTGACCAGGATCAGGAATATGAATGATTGTAGTGTCGCCATCTTTGTCAACTACTTCAAGAGGACCTTCTTGTTTCTGCACATTCTGAGTATCTAACATGGGTGTCATCAACTGTTCAAGAATGCTAGCACTTGGATCTAATCGTGGTCGTTTTGGTTCTTTGACATCATCTTGTCCATCTAAACCAAAATATATAAATCCCAACCCTCAAAAAAATCTTGTAAATACAAAATTTCAATTTAACTTGAATATGTAGAGAGGTCTAGAAAATGATAATTTAAAGTACTAATTAAAATACTACCAAATTTTTTTGGTACTTTTCCGTTTCGCCGGCGCAAATCTCGCCAAGTAGATTTTGTTGGCGACAACATACAGTATACACATAAAAGCTGTTAACAAACATTAGTTCTAAGAATTTTTTATTTTGAAGGCATAAACATTTTAATATGGTTTAAAATTTTGTAAAAAGCCAATAATTTGTAAAAAGTCATTAATACGCTTTCATGGTTCAACATCCTGATTCGCCGATTCGTATCACATGACCCCAAGTAATCTCATATCACGTAAACTGCGCTATAAAAATCTAATTCAGTAATTATCCACATTAATTTTAAGTTAAATCTTAATTTGGAATACACGTTTAAATGCAAGAATTATTTCAATTCGTACGAATAGCTTACTCAGAAATCATGTAAAATCGCAGTGCTTTACTTCGCTAGTCCATTCTCATTAAGAATTGATGAATTTAACCCTTGATTTTGCCTTTTCTTTATTTTAGGGTGAGCGGTGTGATTGCATTCTAATTGATTTAATTACCGCGAATGGTCTTAGGGCATAAATTTAACTATCTTGTAAAAATTCTATGTAATTGTATGCCAGTATTGAAAGAAACAATCTGATAAGAAATGGCTGCGACTTGTTTTGGAAATGAGGCGTAAAAGGTTACTAGCGAAGGTATTCCGTTTGGCATCAGTTGTACCATTGTTGGCGACTTTATCGTTTGCGCCGGCAAAACAGAAAAGTATTACTTTTTAAATAGCTCACAGTTTTAATTGAATTTCTGATCCTTGGAGATTGTATATAAAAAGTTTTCTAATTATAAATTATACAAATATATATATATGCAATAATAAAAGCACAAGGAAAAGGCAGAGCAGTGTCGATACTTGCTTAGATCCATATTGAAGAAGAATTTTGATTGCATAGTATCTAAAGAACTTGGCAGTCGAGGCAGATTTTATTCCATTTTTATTTGCAATTGATAATTTGTGGCCATAATCACTTGGCACTCTAGTCGTGCCTTTCCACAGACGATTTACATTTTTAATATTGCTGAGATAGAAAGCAAGCGAGCAAAATTACATCTTAGCAGAGTAGAGAGCAAAAGCTGAAGTGCATAGTTATGCAAGATGGAAGCACGTGAAGAGGAAAGTTTTAGGTTTGCAATTTGGTAATTCGTCAAGAGACAACTGCATTAACGGTTACGTAAGATATCGCATGATTAATTTGAGCGACGCAGTTTAGACTTACAGCGCTATTTTTAGGACAGATAGATTAAGTTCCCAAATGAAATGGAAAATAAAAGAGGTTACAGCAAATTAAATTTAGAAGTTTGCTTTCATATTTTTTATCTTACATATATATATATATATAAATACAAAACAGTTCTTTTGAAAACAAAACACAAACATGCTAAGTTATTTTCGTGCATTATACAATTTAATTTATAATTAGAAAACTTTACACATGTCACTTGACATTTCAATTTGGAAAAAAAACATTTGGAATCAATAAAATTCTTGAAATTCTGACAAAGACAATTTTAATAATCTTTAAGTACTTTACAGATGTATATCTCATTTAAATGCGACTTTAATATTATTCATATTGCTGTAATATTCAAATAAAATTTTATATAAATATAAGATCAATCATAGTAAGAAATATGAAGATGAGAACAAAAACATACCTTGAAATTCATTGCCCCTAATAGCAAATGCTAGTGGGTCTTTTGCAGATTTTAAAACAAGTGTCAGCATAATAATTTCAGAACGTGATAACACTTGAGTCTTGTGGTTATTGCATAATCCATATACAATTGATACAATTTGTTTCTGGAAGGGGATTAAAAAAAACTATTGGATTCCAGCTTTGAAATAAATCTCATTTCATTAAAAATTTTATTATTATCTACATATCCGCCTCTCTAAAATGTACATAAATTATTTTGATATATACTTAACTCGGTACTAAAGTTATACCAAGAATATGCGTTCAAAAGAAATTTTTTAGATTTTCTTATATTTACTTAAAATAAATCTAAATTATGAAAACAAACTGGTTGTTATTAAAAATTAAAGAAAAAATGAATTTACATTACAGAAATGAAAATCCTAATTACAATAGAAAATGGCTGATTTAATTATAATAAATTGTAAAAATATGTTTTAAATCAGATATACCATCATATTAAAAATATCACTTTTTGAGTTATCTACACACTCACAATTCTAATACTATGCATCAACATAAAATTAAATCAGAAATATAGCATACCTGTGATATGCAACACTGTTCTGACAAATGCTGCAGTTTCTGTAGGAAATACTGCAACAGTATTTTGCAAGCTTGTGCTGCACTACCAACTTGACTTTTGGGTACTAAAACGCAAAACAGTCAAATATTTAAAATCACAAGCAACAAAAATGTTTTTAAATAGCCATACCTTTATACAAATATGGGTATTTCTTTATTATAAAGGCCCCCAAAATTAAACCGCTGATCATACTAGATATAAAATGCAGCAAGGTATAAGAATATGCGGCGAGATTTTCACAAGACATCTCGATTGATTAGTGATTCAGTCTTGGGGGTTGCTATAAGAAAGTACTCAAATATGCAACAATTTATAACACCTAAGTAAAAACTTTACATAAATTATGCAGATACTACAGAATTTTCTAGAATAAAATTTAGCAAGGAAGTACTCAAATATGCAACAATTTATAACACCTAAGTAAAAACTTTACATAAATTATGCAGATACTACAGAATTTTCTAGAATAAAATTTAGCACCTGTAAGGAATTTCTCTTTTCTTTATCCTAAATATCACTCTTACATTTTTCACATAAATGACCAAAAATAACTAATCATACATACTTCCATGGTCATATATTAGTTTAATGATGCAAAGCATACGAGAGTTGTAGAATATTGCTCGCAATAAAACTGTTAAATATTCTGCATAATTCAGAGCTTTTTTTACTTCGAAACTCCCTTAATATTATTCTAGCCACAAATTAACAGAAATAAGTTTGTAAAGCTAAAATGATACTTTTTAACAAAAAAGTGCTATTACTAGAGTAAAAGTATCGGATTTTAACAAAAGCTTGCCGACACTGCAAATATAATCTACGAAAACAGTTTGCATAGGCATGTTTAATCATATTTTATTAAACGGCTTTTAGCATTCGAAAGAAAGAGACTTGCTTTAGAACACTGTGTGGTGAAATTTGTAAAAAGAATATCGTTATCATTGTGCACAAGGTGTCTGAAATGGAACTATTGTGCTACCAGATTAGAATCATCATTTACATCCAGCTCTTGCAAAAAGTCAGCTACAGAATGTCACCAAATCATGTGTACAGTTTTAGGTACTAATGTTGTATCATACGATACTGTGAAGGTTTGGTATCAAAAGTTAAAAAACGAGGACTATACTGATGTTGATGTGGTCCGCCTGCGAGAACTTGTGGAAGAAGATCAGTCTGCAACCACTCGAGAGCTTGCTAAGGACTCAGGCGCTAGTATCATGTCATTAGTTGTGCTATGTATCACATAAACTTGACATACAAGTTTAATGGCTGGGTGCCACATGAGCTGACTCAAACAGATAAGGATAGACGTGTTCGGGCCTTTAGCGCGAGGACCAAATCTAAGATTGGATTATCACTTGTGATGAAAAGTGGATTCACTTCAGCAACACAGGTCAAAAAGAGAGTTGGTTGGCGCCCGGTGAGCCCACCGACAAGCGTCGCTAAACACAGTTTTGACTAATAAAAAGATCATGCTTTGTATCTGGTGGGATATGCTGTGGTATTATCCACAAAAAGTATCTAGAAAAACAAAAAACCCTCGACAGTAAGCTGTACATAGAGATGCTAGTCCATGTTGATGCTGCTATCAAGGAAAAATGACGAACTGAGTTTTGATGCAAAAGATCACATGTGTCTGCATTCAACTGCTACACTTTGTACGGACTCGAATGGGATCTTCTGCCACACCCACTATATAGGCCCGACATCACTCCTTCAGACTTCTACATTTTTCATACCTGCAGCTATATGTTACTGGTGCTATCTTCCCTTCTGCACAGGATACCCAAAATGGGGTTGATCCATTTTTGGACTTGCAGCCACCAAGTTTGAAAAACTACCAAAACACTGACAGAAAAATCACAGATTTGGGTGGTAATTACTACCCACACTAACATTTTTTTGGTGGAAAAATTTTGTTACAATCAGATACTTCCTTGTTAAAGTGGCCACCATGCTTAGTTGCTAACAAACTTGCCATTCAAATAAAAGAAATTATACATATATATATATATTTAAAGACATTGGATATAAACTGCTAATTAAAATATTTATCTCGATTAGAAATTTGTCTATATTACACAGAAAGAAAAATACATGTTGGTAACCTCATTAATATTAAGCATTAATTTTCAATATTTTCAGTGCAAGAACTCCATTCTTAAAGCAAGGCAATACAATATTTTCTCAACAATGAACTTACTATGAAATGAATTGCTGATGATGAAGTGGGCTGAAAGTGCAGCAAAAGAAGCGAAAAAATTTTCATACTCATCTTCATGAGATAAAAGCACTTGCTGCCTGTAAAAAAACATAAAAATTTTTTTAAAAATCTCATGAAAATAGCTCAGAAACTTAAGTCATGTTAAAATGGGACTTTTAACACGAAAATACATGTATCTAGAAATCTTAAAGTACTCAAAAATTTAAAATATTATCCACATTTCTGAAATGCAAACAATCCATATGATATCAACCTGACTTTCAAACTTAATTAGAAGTGCTTTAGTCAAATAAGCAATAAAATATTTTAAATTTTCGTAGTATTTAAACTTTGTACATCTTTTGTTAAAAAGATCTCATTTTTTTGCTTTCACAGAAATAATTTAGCATTTTCTTTGATAACTTATTCAACACTTTCTAACATGATTACCATGAATGTCCTAAAAAATGTAATCTTCTGTTTGTAACGGATGCATACAATTCCTATTCATTGCAATCTCAAAAATAATTTAGTTTAAGCTCTATCCCAGGTATTGACAACCTATAAGTATATGAAGTCGATTTCAATGGTGTATTAAGTGAACTGAAATACATTGATTATAATCTCATACAAAATGAAATTTTATTTAAAAAGAAATGTAATTGTTTTAAATATGTAATTCTTTTTTATTTTCATATCTCTTCAAAATAAAAGGCTTAAGCATTAAAGGTGAGATGATGTGAAGACAACGGCAGTAAATCCTACAGATTCATAAAAATTAATTCATATCTTAATAAATAATTATAATCTGTTGCTTGAATTGTCTGCTTCGAGCTTTAGGATTAAGTTATACATCTGCATAAATTTTCTCACATATTTAAGTTGCTTTGAGTCACAAAACGAGCTAATGCTTGTGTATTAACCTTGAAATACTCCTCACTCAGTATCAACAAATGAGTCCCTCAGGTCAAAAAAGCTCAACCATATTTTTTGTTTAAATTATGCATTCTCCATGGAAAAAATTTAATATATTAGTTTATTTTGCTATTTATCAGGTTTAGAATTATATGACAGTAAATGTAATAGCATATAAAAATTTAAAAGCGTAAAAATTAACATGAACATTGAAAACATTATTCTTCATAATAGTTATCACAAACTATTTTGAAATGGTTTTTGAGTGTAAAAAGGTAATATACTGCATATTTAAAAAGTACTTTTGAGGTTTTTTTTTTTTTTTTTTTTTTTTTACTTCGCTAATTCTCTAATGCTTTTCTGTCATCCTGCCCTTCCGACCTTTTTTTTTAAAGGGAGGGAGACGTAAGATATAAGAAAATACAATGGCTGCTTTAAAAATAATTGGCGACCTCAAAATTAACTATTTTATATACGTAGCTCTTCCCCTAAATTCAAAATTTCTCCCAAATTCGAGATCTTTCTAGGTTATGTAACACTACTTAAAAAGGATAACTAAAACTAATACAGTCAAAAGTCTTTAATCCAGACTCGTCGGGACTTCGGCGATTCCGGATTATAGATCATCAGTTTAAAACTGGTAAGATGGCATGCAGAAATTATAAAATTAAAAATATGAAACCGTAGTTTATGAAATAAAGAGCAATTATGATTTAAAGGGTATCAAAATTTACAAAAACAAAAAAAAAAAAAAAAAAAAAAGCTTAATATTTATTTGTTTACTTTATTAAACATTTCTTTCAACGCGTGCATGCGTAAAGCATACATTACACATAGCCGAAATTAGAAAATTGCAACCAGAAAACTATTTGATTTGTATTCGTGATATTTATAATCACGAGGAATTTGATTTAAATCATATCAAAGACGGAGTACATCGAGATGAAATACTACATTTAGTAAGGAGTTATAAGCCGAATAAAATAAAAACATCTGCCCTGAAGATAAGGATAGTGCTGACAGATCAACTTCCAGTTCATTGCACGCCACGACGTTCTCCCCTCCACCGCGCAGAGCAGCGTGAAATGATAAACAGATTTCGGAATGGTTAGAGAAACAAAGGATATGCCTTTATCCTTTTTTTTACAGCAATTCCAATTTTTGTCTGACGGACATCGAAACATGCTTTCCCTTTGTAGATTCCTTTGGCAGCTGCAGCATCGGAAATTCTATTTGACATGATTGAAAGTTCCAACTTACTTTTATAAAATTGCTCTAACAGTCTGAAAAAAATAATAATAGTCTGAAAAAAAATAACAGATCCAATTAGAAGATTAAGGAACAACGCAATCTGCAACATTAACTGAAATAGATAATTAGATAATTTTAGCTTAGCTTATACCGTCCGTTATACATTAAACGCACATGCGTAAACGTATTATGCGCATGCGTAAAAGTATTACGTGCATGCGTCAACTCGCTGACGCATGCGCAGAAAGTTTGTAGCTTAGAGGTCCGGTTTAACGACTTTTGACTGTATTAGCCAATCATACCTTGTCTCTACAACTGCATCTACTTCGGTATAAATACCGCTTGCAAATTAATTACGTCATACCATTCCTTTTCCTAAGTGCTGTTCTGTTAACTCCACGCCGCTTCGCAGATGCCTAAGTCATGCTTTTAAAATCAGTGTACATAAAAATTATCATATTGAAATACGATTGGATAAAACACTTGTCTACAAATATGATTTGATATGAAGTATAATGGAATAAAATTATATTTTGAAATGACTATATCTAGAAGTTTGCGGTTTATGCATCCACTAATCTAATTACGTAGACTTCAAACTACAGTGCATCAAAATATCCATCCCCGGCTATGATGACTGCTAGCTGATTACTCCTACATATTAAATTATGACATATATATATCCCATGTATAAAAATGAGGTATCAGTACCACATTTGCTGAAGGCTGTCTATTTACAATTCATTTCAATGCATTAAAATAATATATAATAAAAAAAGGAACAGGATAGTGATTTAAATGACTGAAATATGTTAAAATCAAATTTCAGTAGTTATTGTGTATAAAAATATGGTAAGCTTAGATAGCATGTTCAATGAGTGAGTGAGAGTGAGGTTATTGGCACAAAACCAAAGATGATTATAGCACGCCAAACACAAGGTGGGATGATCAAAATTGATGAAATCAAAATAATTTTTTAGTAAATAAAAACAGGTGGACAAATGTACCAAATCCAGAGGATGAAGTCATATAAAAACAAGGTTAAAGTACACATTAAAACCCAAAACACAATCTTCAAAACAAATTACAATAGGTAATAAAAGCCAGTCTCTTTTAAATAATAAAATAAATTACAATTGAACTCTCTTCTGATTAAATGGTCGAGAGGTAAGTCACAGATACTAAAATATTTCTGACGAAGATTATTAAAACATGGACACTCAATTAAAACATGACGGACTGATAGACAAACATTACAATTCAAACACAGGCTCATTCTCAACCTTCAAAAGGTAGTTATGTGTTACTCTAGTGCGACCAATCCTGAGGCGAGTCAAAAGAACTCCCTCCTTACAATTTCCAGCAAAATCCCAATGCTCAATTCTACGATTTACATTTCTCAACTTCTGCCATTTTTTTTTTCGGATCTTCCCTTTGATGACACAGCGGACGTCTCTAAAAGGGATGAGGCGATTGGACAGTTCAACAGCAGATTTTGCTGCGATATCTGCAAGCTCATTTCCCTTTATTCCCGCATGCCCAGAAACCCAGCAGTACACGATTTCATATCCTCGAATCAGTTAAATTTATATGAATTTGAGAACATCCACTACCACAGGATTCTGAGCGTTAGGGAAAAGCTTCCAAGGATTTAAGAGCACTATACGAGTCTGTATAAACTATGAACTTTTTGTGGCAGAGCTTTGAGATGTACAAAAGACCATAATATAGGCAGTTAGTTCAGATGTTAGGACAGAGAAAGCATGATCCAAGCATCTGTCCTCTATGTAATCTTCAAATACAAATGCCATCCCAACATGATCATTTGACTTAAATCCATCTGTATATATCGGATGATAACTGCTATATTTGTGCCTGTGCTCAGCGAAGAGTTGTCTGTAAATGATCTCGTTAGTGCTTCCCTTCACGTGGTGGTTGAAAACATCAAGAAGCTGGATTTGTGCATCTTCCCAAGGTGGGATTTCAAAATTCTACACTAATTGGGGACACATATCAGAGAGGGAGATATCCTCAATGACAGGTTGAAGTCTTAAAAGAAAAGGAAGGTATGACAGATGGACGTGCTGCAAATAAAGTGTTATACATATTATCAAGAAAGTACAGCTCATAAGGATGTTCAGGTTGCCATAAAATATTAAAATACTGCAAAAGGGACAATTGCTCATGCCTCAGATGAAGTGGTGGTTCGTTAGAGTCAACATAAAGGCTCTGGACAGAAGATGTCCTGAAGGCTCCAGAACAAATCCACAAAGCTTGATGATGAACAGGGTTTAGCTTAAGCGACACTGAAGACCGAGCGAATCCATAAATAACTGAGCCATAGTCTAGACCAGACAAGCGCTCTATAAATGCGAAGCATAGAGCAACGCTTTGCATCCCAAGAGGTGTTTGCCAATACGTTTAAAATATTTAGTGTTTTTAAACACTTCTTTCTCAAATTTAAGACGTAAGAAAGAAAAGTCAATTTTCAGTCGAACATCCTAAAAATTTTACTTCAGGTGCAACTGGAATCATTGACCCACTGAGATATAATTCAGGCTCAGGATGGAGACCTCACTTTCTACAAAAGTGCACGCACAGTCTTCTGCTTTGAAAATGCAAATCCTTGTCTGTTTGCCCATTCCTGGATCCTATTCAAAGCAATCTGGAGTTGCCTCTCTACATGTCTCGTATCTGCTCCTTGACAGCTAATTTATAGGTCATCAACATACAAAGATCCTGAAATGGTGGGAGGAAGTTCTTTTAATACAGAATTTATTTTTAGGCTGAAACAGGGTTACACTAAGCACACAGCCTTGAGGCATACCCTCTTCCTGTTCAAAAACATCCGACAAAACAGAGCCAATCCTTACTTGAAAAGTTCTAGGGTTCAAGAAATTTTGAATGAAAATTGGTAGGTTGCCGCGCAAGCCACTATCATGAAGATCACGAAGTATACCGTATCTCCATGCCTTAGCATAAGCTTTCGCTATATCAAAGAAAATTGAGACAAGGTGATTTCTTCTTACAAAAGCTTTGCGAATGGATGTCTCTAAAAGGAGCATGTTATCTACGGTTGTTCTCCCCTTTCGAAAACCGCTTTGGTAAGGTGATATAATATTATTCTTTTCCAAGAAGTAGACTAGGCGGCTGTTTACCATTTTTTCAAACAGCTTGCATATGCAATAGTAAGGGCAATTGGTCGATAGTTGGAGGGATTCCTCGGATCTTTTCCTGGCTTAGCAATAGGAATTACAACAGCTCTTCTCCATGCATTGGGAAAAGTACGCTCCTTCCACACTCTATTGTAAAGCGTGTGGAAGATCAGTGACTTATAGGACAGATGCTTCAGTATTTCATAATTTATGCCATCAAGACCTGGAGAGAACATATGTGTCTGCAGCAAAGCTCTACTTAGTTCAAGGATAGTGAAGTCTCTATTATAAGGCTCAGATTTGGAAGAGTTGAAAGCGATGGGATTTCTTTCAAACTGCTATTTGATGGAGAGAAATGCGAGTAAATAGTTTCTGCTGGAAGAAACAGCAGCAAATATCTCACCAATAGTATTCGCAATTTCTTCCATGGAGCTTATCTCTCAGCCATCTTTTTCCAAAATGGAAAGTGGAAAAGGAAAGTTCTTTATATATTCCGCATGCTTTCCTAACTCTTTCCCAAACCCGCTTACTAGGCGTAGAGGATGTTATTCATGACACATATGAAATCCAGGAATCCCTCTGGCTCTGCCTTCTTAACTTTTCGTGTATTTGCTTTGACTCTTTTAAATGCCATAAGGTTTTGCAGAGTAGGGTATCTACGAAAAATTCCCCATGCTTTTTTGTGTTTTTTCAGTGTTTCATGACAGTCGCAATTCCACCATGGCTTCGAATACCATAGCATTTTTCCTGGTGT